GGCCAGGGATCAAACCTGCAACCCAGGTATAAGCCTTTGACCAGAAATCAAACCCTCAACCCTTCAGTGCATGGGCCATCGCTCCAACCACTTAGCAACACCAGCCTGGGCTATATTTTTAATCAAAATGAATTAAAATGGTATCCTAAATTATGTTGTACACCTGAAACTAATATAAAATAATATTGAATGCACACTGTAATTGAAATTTTTTTTAAAATTTTAAATGGTATCCTAAAAAATATTTGGCACATAAAGAGAGAATTAAAAGGGGAAAAGAAGACAAAAAAGATATGAAACATTGAGAAAACAAATAGCAAAATGGCTACTCACGAATACAACCATATTATAACTACATTAAATATAAATGGACTAAACACAGAGACTGACAAACTGGATAAAAATAGACCCAACTATATGCTGTCTACAAAAGACATACCCTAAATCCAAAAGGAGTGGAGGGGCAGGGATGGGCTGCAGGGGGCTAATGGGGGGAAAATGGGGATTTATGTAATACTTTCAACAACAAATAATTATTTTTAAAAATCACGAGCTCTAGCTGGCATGGCTCAGTGGATAGGGCGTTGACCTGTGGACTGAAGGATCACAGGTTCGATTCCAGTCAAGGGCATATGCCTGGGTTTCAGGATTGATCCCCAGTGGGGGGTGTGCAGGAGGCAGCCGATCAATGATTCTCTCTCATCATTGATGTTTCTATCTCTCTCTCTCCCTCTCCCTTCCTCTCTGAAATCAATAAAAATATATTTTAAAAACACAAACACACACACAAAAGTGAAAGAATGGAAAAAGATTTACCATACAAACAATAACCCTAAGAGAATATGAGTGATTATATTACTATACGCTGAAATAGACTTTAAGACAAAAAAATTAATAGACACTAAGATATTTTTAATAATTAAAAGATCAATATATGAGAAAGATACAACAATTTTAAATGTATACATAACAAACAGCAAAGCCCCAAAAATTAGGAAGTGAAAACTGACAACACAATTGGAAAACAGACCATTCAACATAAGTTAGATATACTATTAAGCCATTCTCAATAACTGATAGAATGACTGGACAGAAAGCCAGCAAGGATATAGAAGACTTTAACAACAGTATCTAGCCATTTACAACAGCTATATAGAAGGCATTATACTAAGTGAAATAAGCCACACAAAGAAAGACAAACACTAGGTAGTATTACTTTACTATGGAACCTAAATAAAAAGAGAAACCCATAGAAACAGAGTAGAAAGTGGTTGCCAGGGGCTTGGGAGTAAAAATAATGAGAAATTGGTAAAGGGGTACAAAAGTTCATCTATAACATGAATAAGTTCTGAGGAACTAATGTAGGATATGATGACTATAGTTGATAACACTGTACTGTGTAACTGAACTTGACATTTGCTAAGAAAGAACTTAATATTGTCCCAAATAGAATTAATATGTAAAGTGATGGATGTATTAATTAACTAAGTGGAAGGTATTCTTTCATAATGTGTGTGCATATCAAATCCTCACAACATACACTTTAAATAGTTCACACGTTTATTTGTCAATTATATTATCTATATATATAAAAAGCTAATATGCAAAGTGTCCCCTCGGGAGTTCAACCGCGAGACTGGGAGTTTGATCACTTGCTATGATGTGCACTGACCACCAGGGGGCAACACAGAACATGGCAGGCAACTAGCAGCTATGGTGGTGGGGCTCTGAGGGAGCAAGGGAAGGAGGAGGTGGGGAGGTGGCGAGGCAGGGAGGCGAGGAACCTGATCAGCCCTGATCACCAGCCAGGCCTAGGGACCCTACCCTTGCACGAATTTCATGCACCGGGCCGCTAGTATGTCAATAAAACTGAGAGGAGGGGAAGAAACATTATCCACCATCTATATTTTCCACTTATAAAACACTTCATTCAACCAGTGTGGAATCTGTACTTTTTTTCAAGTACAAAACATTCTACAAAATATATAATATGCTAGGTCACAAAACAAGTTTCAATTAATTTAAAAGGATTGAAACCATACAAAGTATTTTGTCTGTCAAAATAGCCTGGTACTATCACAAGAACAGGCATAGAGAACAATGGAACAAAACAGAGACCCCAGAAATCGACTCACACCATCATGGTCTATTAATATTTGACAAAGGAGGCAAGCACATACAATAGAGTAAAGATAGTCTCTTCAAAAAATGGTTTTGGGAAAATTGGATAGATACATGCCAAAAAAAAATATGAAACTAGACCACCGACTTACACCATACACAAGAATAAACTCAAAATGGATAAAGGACTTAAATGCAAGCCATGAAACCATAAAAATCCTAGAAGAAAACATAGGCAGTAAAATCTCAGACATCTCACAGATACATCCCCTATGGCAAGGGAAAGAAAGGAAAAATAAACAAATGGGAGTACATGAAACTAAAAAGCTTCTGCACAGCCAAAGAAACCATTAACAAAATGAAAAGGAAACCCCTATATGGGAGAACATATTTGCCAGTGGTATATATGATAAGCAGTTAATTTCCAAAATATATAAAGAA